AGCCACCATTTTTAGTGCCTTTTAAAGAAAGTCAACACACATATATAAGGAATGTATTAAATATCAGGTACTGTTCTAGGATCTGGACACACACCAATAATCCTTTCCCTCCTGGGGAGATTTTATCCTAATGCAGAGCAATTACACTGTTTTAGATTCTGGTCAATAAAATTCCTATGGGAATTTGCCAGGGTATGCATGGGCAGAGATGGAGGTAGCCGAACAGAAATATTCTCTCCTCTCTGCAAGAAGGACAACATTATGTGTTGTTTACAATGAAGACTTCTACACAATCCTATTCTGCTTCTTTAATGCCATGCTTGGCTACAAATTATACATACATGTATAATATATATGATACAATATATATGAATTACATATTGTGCTTACAAGTATAATACTGTTTTCTATTGTATAAGTCACATTCTCCTCCATCACTTGTACCATGAAGCTTCTCCTGGCTGCTCCTGTTAGAGGTCTATTCGCTCTTAAAAATTTAGTCCTTTGACAGAATTTTTTTATGATACCCATTTTGTGTTTAATCATGTACTTCCTTACACCATTGTTAAATTTCAAGCTACCTGCAGGAAAAAAGCTATGACTATGACTCTGGTGACTAGTAGTCATCATTCCATTATCTCTGGAACCCAGGTCATGACTCATGCTGATAAATATTTGCTGTCTCAAGCTGAAATACAACCTATCTAAATTAAGCATTGGAAAAAAGAACACACATAAGTCACAAATATATTCTCCATTCTTTGTCTCTAATTCCCAACTTGAAGTTCAGTGTCATTTCGAAAAAAAATAATAATGTTTATTTATTTTTGACACACAGAGAGAGAGAGAGAGACAGAGTGTGAGTAGAGGAGGGGCAGAGAGAGAGGGAGACACAGAATCCCAAAAATGCTCTAGGCTGAGCACAGAGCCCTATGTAGGGCTCGAACTCATGAACTGCAAGATCATGACCTGAGTGGAAGTAGGACGCTTAAACTTCTGAGCGATGCAGTCACCCCTTTTCAGTGTCATTTTGAATCACATGTGTTTGTGTCCACAAAAATATCTTAATGCTCCCCATATTCTCCCAATATATTAAATACAAAGCTATAGTTTCTAAGTTCTATAATTGAACTATTTTCCACAAAAGAAAAGAGAAAAAATAGATTAAAATATGTTATTTATTGTATTGATATCATGTTTTAAAATATTATTGCAATTCATCATCATTAAGAAATATGTATTTCTAAAGTCACCTATATTATATTTTCTGAAGATATGTACCTATATTATCATATAAGAAGGTACAAGTATAATTAATTATTCATTATTTATAATTTTATTATCCATTTGCTTTCCAATACATTTGGTCTTCTAGGTCGTTAATATTCAGGTAGCTCACGAATTTATAGATAATACCTTTTATAGTATATGAAGCAAAATTAGGAAAAGCATCAAGCTAATTATTTTCTCTTTCCAGTCTGCATATATTTCATGATCCCTCTAGACATAAGATGCCAGAGTTCACATTTTCTCAACAATGGCATTGATAATCCCTGATAACATTCACTAGCTGGTGAAGATTGGCTCCCTGAGGATTTAGTTAGTTGACAGACTCTGTTTGTTTAGTTTGACTTTGCTGATCTTAACAGTAATTAATTCTCCTTGCTGTGGTGAATATATAAGTATCGTAATGGTATACACCTAACTGTTCCTTGCTGACTAATTTTGTTTTAAATAGGAGTCTTACATACATAAACTAAAAATACATAAGTGTGCGTGTGTGTGTGTGTCTTATGATTTATGGATATATGAAATGTGTTTAAAAACACAAATCCTTATTCCTTCTGTTTCATCGAGGAAACTTGGGAAATAATACAGCATTCACTCTATTAGTGCAGACAAATCCTGTGAATGTGAGATCACTCTTATTTCAAACCCTTTTCCCACAATCGACTTTAAATGCTTCCTCTGATTAACTGAAAGCTCTAGAAATTCTCTTTGAGGGTTCAAAAGACTCTTCTTAGTTCAAGCCAAAGATTTTTATTCCACTGGTTTAAAGGAATATTTTCACAAAAAAAGCATTTATTGTATGCATTTTAAATTTGGTATAAAATTGATATAAAAAAACATCTTAAAATCATCTACACATAGAATGGCAGTGTGCTCAGATAAAATTTTGGTGTACTGATTTTTTTTTTTATCTTCCTGTTGTTTCTATTCACATGAGCTTCTCTTAGGAATATTTAATTGATTCCCTTTGGTTGTGTCCTCCTTTCCTATTAGATTCTTTTTCCTTGTCTGTTAGAAAGTCAGTAGACAGAAGGGATAGATGTGTATGTGCAGTTTCTGAAGAAAACTAGAGCTGTGTGGCTCAGATCAGGGACCATGTCTTATTCATCCTTTACATCACTAACATCCAACACAGTGCTTGATGCATAGTGTAGTTCAAAGAATATTTGTTGAAGTGAGCAAGCTGTACAAGGAGGTTTGGGGCAGGCACTACTAAAATATGTTATTGTACTTAAAGAGAGAGGCACATGGGGAATATTAGAGTCATGCGTCAAAAATTTGGAACATGAAGCTTTAGTCTACTATTAAGATGGGGAAAGATTCAGGCTCCTGTTTCTACCTATGCTACTACATTGTGGAATAGTAACTCCAAAATCTTTATTCTACTCTCCCTTTCCCCACCTTACACACAAAATAATGTCTCTGCATCAGAACAGAGAATCCTTTGTATCAGAAACCCCTGTCTTTGCATTGAATCCTCTCACGTATATATGCCAAAGCATTAAAATTATGAACATTACATTCAAATGCAGATGTGTAAAAGATGTTAATTATGTAACGTTAAGTAAAAACAATCAGGATAATATACCATGAGTACAGCTATATTTAACAAGGACCTAAATTTGAACATCTATTCTTACACATGTCAAAATACTGAAATCTGGTACATGATAATAGAACTGCCTACTTAACCTACCAAGAATCCATATACATGATGGGCTAAGTCATTTGAAATATCAGCTGCACTATCCTGAAGAAATTTGTGCCTGAGTCCAAATGAAAAGCTGATATTATAAAGCAGGAGTATTTATAAATTCCTCTACTGAGGCATTGGCAGGACATGCTGACATTTAGAAGAGCATAGCACTGTAGTGGTGACCAGGACATTACATCTCTACCTACGGTTAAGATTGGTGCTCATTGGAATATGAAATAGACACTCTCTGAGCTGTGAGAGGGAATTGTTCCTGGGAGAGGTGTATTTAAAGGACATCACAGCAGCATCTCAGCTTTATTAATGCCTGAGGCAGGCTTCAGAAGGTATCACAATTATAAGCCAATATTGGTCAGGAAGAAAATGGAAAAATAGAAGCCAAATAGAACAAGAAAACTCTTTTATAAATCCACTTGAGATATTTCCTGGGGAAAACAACACAAGATGGGAAGGAATTTGAGGAGACTAGAGGTTCTAAAATGAGTAGAGGATGACCCAGAGAAAGGCATTTTGATATATTATTGACAGTAGCATATAAGAAGAAACATGAACTCTATATATATTAAATATATATATTTAAATGCATGAGAAAACAAGGAAATTTGGAGTTAATTACCTCAAAACAATAACAATGTTTATTTGTAGAGCTTAATTTACATGATTTTTTTTTTTATTTTGCCAAGTTTTGTGCTGTGGTTAAATTGGTTTTCTCATTTAAAAAGAGCACTCTCGGGGCACCTGAGTGGTTCAGTCAGTTAAGAGTCCGACTTCGGCTCAGGTCATGGTCTTATGGTTTGTGGGTTCATGGGTTCAAGCCCCGCGTCGGGCTCTGTGCTGACAGCTAGCTCAGAGCCTGGAGTCTGCTTCAGATTCTGTGTCTCCCTCCCTCTCTGACCCTCCACTGCTCACGCTGTCTCTCTTTCTCAGAAATAAATAAAACATTAAAATTTTAAAAATAAAAATAAATAAAAAAGCGCACTCTCTTTTTAATACAAGCATGCAGTTTGTATTACATTTATTAAAGAAACCAGTGAAGGTAGTGAAAACTCCCTGGTCTTGATAATGTATACTCTGACCACTTCTGCATCTCATTTCTATTTGTCTCTCCATCCCATTATCCCCAATCTTAAAGAATGATTTTTGAGTGCACAATGACTTTGAAATTTTAAGTGTGAACATTTGGAACAGATTCAAGACACATAGTATAAATTCATTTTTTGGACTGATGGTAAAGAAATGACAACTCTCAGATAATCAAATTTCAGTCCATAAACTAAATATGCCATGGTTTCCAGTAAGAACATAGATTCTCTCTTAGATCCCTTTTTTGAACTCTTTACCCCATTTGCATATTTTTGACAACTCTATTTGATACTAAAAAATGGATTTTGTCTTAAATATTTTTACTGAATTTGATCCCTCTTATTTTAATTTAAAAAAATTTTAATGTTTAATTATTTTTTGAGAAAGAGAGACAGAGAGAGAGACAGAGGGAGAGAGACAGAGAGACAGAGAGAGAGAGAGAGAGAGCATGAGTAGGGTAAGGGCAGATAAAGGGAGACACAGAATGTGAAACAGGCACCAAGCTCCATGCTGTCAGCCCAGAGCCTGATGTGGGGCTGGACCTCACAAACTGCGAGAACATGACCTGAGCCGAAGTCCAATTATTACCCAACTGAACCATCCAGGCACACCACTCCTATTTTAATTTTTAAATGTAAGTTCTGATATAATTTGACTTGCTCTCAAATCCATGAAGTTAAGCAACTGACATTGCTCAGCAATGCCTGTCTGGGCAAAGTAATGTTGCAGGAGACTTAGTATGAGCATTTGAACCTTGTCATCAAGTGATCCAGAACATTTTCAGACATTTATGTTGTGTGCATGTCAGAGTATGGAGAGGAGAAGGGGAAGGATGGGGATTTAGGGAAATAGGTATTAAAGTGGTTACTTTTTGCCTAAAACACTTTACCATCAGGGTTGTGTTTATTTTCAGAAACAGAAAGTTCTCATCTGCCATCCTTGCCCCAGTTGAAGGAAAACTCAGTTTAACAAAAGAAAACAAGGTAAATTCAACATAGTTCCTAAGAAAGGACTATGAATTTCTTAATACTTCATTAGAATCCCAACACATGATACGATATCCAAGAATTGTTTTATTCTTAGTTTTATCCCCACCCCCTACCTCTTTAGGAGAACCAAACATCTTTCCTGCTCCTTGATCCCAAATAAATGTTAATTTAATAAGAATTTTGCAGTGTCAACTTCGCTATATACAGAGTTCTAAACTCTGGGACTACAGCAGCAAACAATACAAAAACTGCTATTCTGTTTTTTGCATTCTAGTCAAGATAGGTGGAAAGTAACAAATGAATAATTACATCACATGACAAGTACTAGAAATAAAATAAAGCAGGATTAGAGGAAAGTGGCTATTTTAGGTAGGATGTTAAATCAAGATCTCTCTGATTTGATGACTTTTGATCAGAAATGTGAAAGAAGTGATCCAAATATTTAGATAATAATATTCCAGGCACAAATAGCAAATGCCTAGAAGTAGCATGTGCTGAAATAGAAACAGGCCGTTGGGAATGTAGCGAAAAGAGCAAAAGCAAAGCCAGTAAATCAGGTAATAGATAATAGTAACATGAGCTAATGGTACAAACACAGGTGACTTGAAGTACTTGAACTTGAGATGTACGATGTAGATACAAGTTCTAGTTAAAGACTCAGTACTGGGCTGCTGCATTATTTGGAGGTTGAAAAATGAGGAAGAACCATAAAAGGATACTAAAAAGAGGAATTCATTGAGAGAGGAAGAAAAAGAAGAGGGTAAACACAAACAAACAAACAAAACAACAAACAAGGAAGTAGTGATCAAATGTATCAAAAGCTGAGGAGTTTATCAAGGACTGGGAGGGAAAAAAAGGTCATTAGATTTGGCAACCTGGAGGCAATTATTGGTCTTGACTAGAGAGTTTTCACTGGATTAACGGGAACAAAGCTTGTTTGGAAGGAGTTTAAAAAGAGTGGGAAAAGGGAAAGTGAAATAATGAATTTAGATCAGACTTTAGAGAAAGAGAGAGAGAGAGAGAGTGTAAATAGGAGCAGAGAAATGAAACACTAGTCAGAGTGGATTGTGGAGTTGAACAGGTTCTTTAAGAGGCGGGAGACGTTACCTAATATATATATTCTGATGAATGTTACAGTAGAGAGGGAAAAAGTCACCAATAACACTTGAGAAATGGGAGGAAGCCAATTGCAAAATAGATGCCCAGGAATATGTGTAAGGGGATGAAACCCAGATCATTACATAGAGGAGTTGGTCTTAGACACATGATCCCTACACTTTGACGGGGGAAAGACAGATATATGGTTGAGTATGTAAGGAGATTTTAGATTTGGGTTGAGTTGAATGGCAGTAATCTAAGTTTTCATATGATTTCTCCAATTTTCTTACTGAAATAAGGAAAAAGGATATCATCTGAGATTGATAAGAGAAAGGAAATGTTGGAGGCTTAAGGAGATACGGATATAAGTTTTACCAGAACTGAGTTATTTCCAAATGTTAGGAAGGAAGGAAAAAGAACAAAGGAGTAGACACAGAGGTACTCACTAGTAAATATAGATTCCCAGGAACCCCCTTCATATACTTTATTCCAACCATACAGAATTTTTTTTCTTATTATTCACATATGTCTCATGCCCAAAGTCTTTGAAAATTCTTTCATTCTGGTAAAAGAACTATGTAACTTTTCATTATTTTTTAGGCCTCAATTTATATTCCAGCAAGCCTTTCTTGTACAAATTCTAAACTTCTTCCTATCAGCATTCATGATATTATATTGTATCTACTTTTTTTTCCTTTCTGCCAACACAGTGTGTTTCTCACACAATGGTACCATATCTCCAGTAGCTATGGGGAAAATATTGCATATTAATATCATAGATTCATTATTAAACACAGGTGATTTTTTTTGTTTTGTTTTTTCCCACAAAAATTTAATTCAATGAGTACATACAAATTTGCATAGTAAATGTATATTTAGAATTATATGTTGTATTTGGAACCAGAAATTATTAAGCACTTTCATTTTATTTAAGTTTCATGTTAACATCTGCACAAAGGAGAATACTAGTTCAAAAATGCAAATCTCTACTGCACTACATAATAGATTTTTAAAAAATATGACTGAAACAAAAACAAACAAATAAACCAAAACAACTGAAAGGTAAGAAAGGAATAATAATGATTTAAAAAACCCTTAAAATCTTAAAAGTTCATTGTGAGTTCAATTATTTCTGAAGAGATTAAAATTAAGTATAATTCATCCCCTAGCTAGCAGAGATTTTTTTTTATAGTGCTCCATAATTAACTCAAACATGCTATTCAGACTTTGACTTTCATACAAATATAAAGGTATAATTTAGATGAATAGAAACAGGTTTGCAATAAAACAACGTGACAATAAGAGACTTTTTTATTTCATTCAATGTCAGGAGTATATAATGGAAAAATCTGTCACTTTTGATGGAGAACAGAGTGTAATTAAATTTAATCTTACTGCAGACCTTTGTCTTAATCTGATTTTCATTTAACCAAAGATCACCATTTAGTTTAAAAGCTTGTAAATTTTGTTTTCTTCTCTGCACAAAGGGATACTTTTAAAGTACCACACCTGATTTTTAAATATACTCTCAGTTTTATATGATCTGAATTATAGTTCTTCTTAAATTAGAGCTGATTCTCTTTTAAAAAAGAGAGATGTATTTCTGATTTCTTATTTTCCTTTCTCAGAGGGCTTATATTTCTTCTTTTTATACTGGGGATTATGCGTGTAAGATGTGTACTAGAATAGTGTTTCTTTGTGAACTCCTATTTCTGACTTATGCATTTTAAGGAAGTTGCATATAACAATTTCTTTCTAGAATTTATTTTTTTAAATGTTTTTTTTTTTTAATTTATTTCTGAGAGAGAGAGAGAGAGACAGCATGAGCAGGGGACGGTCAGATAGAGAAGGAGACACAGAATCTGAAAGAGACTCCAGGCTCTGAGCTAGTTGTCAGCACAGAGCCTGACACGGGCTTGAACCCGCGAATCATGAGATCATGACCTGAGTCAAAGTCGGCTGCCCAACTTACTGAGCCACCCAGACGCCCCTCATATAGCAATTTCTAATGAAACTAGTTCACTGCAAATACTGTTCTCAGGTGTGTATGTGCGTGTTTGTATATACTGTTGAACAAGATGGAGGATGCAAAGATACCCCATTTGTAATGAAAGAACCTTGCTTTTTTCATTATGATACAACCAGAGTAAGTTCCAGAAACTGATTTAAAACATAACCTAGATGGGGCGCCTGGGTGGCTTAGTCAGTTAAGCGTCCGACTTTCGCTTAGGTCATGATCTCACGGTTTGTGGGTTCGAGCCCCGCGTCGGGCTCTGTGCTGACTGCCAGCTCAGAGCCTGGAGACTGTTTCAGTCTGTGACTCCCTCTCTCTCTGACCCTCCTCTGCTCACGCTGTCTCTCTCTCTCTCTCTCCTAGAAATAAATAAAAAACATTAAAAAAAAAAACCATAACCTAGACATTAAGTCATACAAACACATACAAAATGCACAGCCTGTGGGAAAAGTCATGACAGTGATGATATCCATTTATCTATGGATTATTTTTAATTTGAAATATATAAAATATACACACATTGTGAGGAATCTTATAAGTTGTAGCATTTTTAGTAGAAAATAATCCCTACTCCATAACTCAAAATCTAGTGTCGAGTTTTTCCATGATTAGGAAATAGAGGTAAGTCATAAAGATACTTCTGTGTCATAGAATCTGAGACTAGAATCTATAAGAAACTGATATGATGTAATTTGACCTAACTTCAGAAGCAAATAACTAGGGTCAAATGAAAGAAATTTACATTTGTAATTCAGCAAATATTCATTGTGCATATAATATGTTGCAAGTTTTGTTCTTGATATAAGGAATAAAGCAATGGGTGAGACAGATAAGGCCCCTCCTTTCATAAAACTTAAAAGGCAGGTGGAGATAGGTTATAAATAAAAATCATAAGAAGACAAATATACTGAAGAAAATAAAATAGGATAATGTGCTAGAAACTGAGTAGCATAGGTGACCTAAATGAGGGTTGGAAGACATCTCTCATCATTTGATTTTAACAGAGAATAAGAGACATGATTGAGAAGATAAGGAATCTGCAGGGCATACAAGAGATGTAAAGGCACAGAAATGAAGAGTAAGCTTGGAGAGTGACAGAAACTGAAAAAGTCAGGATAACTGGATGATAGTAAGTAACTGGAAAAGTAGTTGGAGATAACATCACAGATTGGGGCCAAGAAAAGTGGTTGTAGAAACTGGGAGCCCATAAAAGAATGGATACTCTATGGAAATCAATAGCAACTTAATATGCAACATAACCTGATCCAGTTTTACGAAGATCATGTTGACCCCCAGGTGGGGAATAGATTGCATATGCACCTAATGGAAGCAGAAAGACTATGTACAGTAGTCTAGTAAAGGGATGCTGGGGATTTGACCTTGGACAGTCACATAGAATGGGAGAAAATTGAAATTTGCCCTAAAAGTTTTCTTTCCATATCTCCAATAATCTTATTGTTGTCATTTTCAAATTACTTTGTTGGGGCTCTCTCCTTCACTTTGGACTTTAGATTAGAGGGGCAAAACCCTGTTAAGCACATACCATACAAACCAAAATGATATGGAATGTATGAATATTGATACATATACTTTTTCAATAAAAAATCCTAGTGTTTCCATGCACTCTCAGATTGATATCTTAGTTTCTTTCAATTAGTCTGACTAGAGAACTATTAAATATAAACTCTTTTAATGGTTGCTCTTTTTAAGTTTGGAGATTAATTATATAACTGTTACATAGAGCAATAGAAGAACACAGTGTGGTATTATCTGCTATTTCTATTCACTGTTCAGTTTCAAACTATTTTATTAAATGCCAAAAGAGGTATTCATTTCCTTGATTTGCCATATGGTACCACCGTGACTTTACCACTGTGCAGTCATTTTGCCCCATATCTGGGAATCAATCAATCTATTGCAGTGATTCCCAGTAGGAGCAGCCTTGAATAGGAAGAGCGGCAGCAGTTCTTGGGAAGCAGCAGTAGGTCTCAGACTCACTTTTGGAAAGAACTTGACAAGTGCATGTTTCTGTCCCCAATTGATCTGTCAATTTAGATCACTGATGCCAAAAACCAGAAAGGCAAAGTTATCAGGAAATCTCGAGTAAATTAGAAAAATGTCCTCCAGCCACAAATTCTCTTATCCTTCAGCACACAAAGCTAATGTTCCAGGAGGTTAGCTATTGAGCTGGTAAAGGCGATGTCACACCCTACAGTCCATGGGGACCATGTCAAGCTGAATCCATGGAACACACTCTTTAATGCTTACTTGTAAAAACACAGTCCATAGAAGGAAATTTGCTGCAATTTAGAAAAACAATAATCTCACTAACAAGTAGTGTGTCCCCTTTTTACCATTCTTTTTGGGTATGTATTTAAATCTTCCATGTAACTATCTACAGTATAAATTGATACTGAAATATCAACTAGGTGGTGAAAATAAAATACAATAAACAAATACAAATTAAAATTTCTGCTGCACCCATCTTATTTTTTTTTTTTTAATTTCAGTTCTGGCATAATAAGATCACAGTGATTTTATTTTCTTCTATGAGAAGATGACTATACCTGCTTTTCAATTATTCTGCTATGTTCACAGATATATATCCTCTGTGTCTAGAAACTGTGACAAAAGAAATATTTTATAAGAAATTTAAAATAATGCCCACTGCCCTTGGGTGGAGTACATTAGAATGTTTATAGGGTTGTTTCATAGGTAGTTTGATGAAACATGATTGAGTTGGAGGTAACCTGTACTTAACTTGAAAAGGATGGTTTAGTGGGTATGCAAATAAATAAGTATTCTTCCATTCTTTTTCTCACATCCATACTAGCCTTAGGGGAATGAGAATTCTAGGGCTATGGTTTTTAAATTTAGGAAGGTAGTAAGTGTCTTTCTTTGATAAAAATGTTAGGAGATAGCTAACATTTTTTTTCTCCTTTTCTGAGAAGACCAAAGCTCTGAAAAGATACCTACCTGGACTATTGACTACTAAGCCACATGGCAGCTCAAAAGCTCAGAGACTAAATAAACATGGATCTGGGGATAGGCTTTGAAAGGATTCCACTGTGGTAGACAAAGAAAATGGCTGAGATCACATAAATAGAACATATTTTTCAACAGGTGCCAACATAGATAAAGTCAATGTAAGGAGGGAGGAAATTCTCTTCTGGGCAACTCCTGTGGAGGAAGGACATAATAATAATAAAATAAATTAGTTGAAGGAGTTGGAAAGGCATTAAAGACACAAGCAATTAAGGGTAATAAGACCTAGTTGAGATCAGAAATAACTATAAGACATTTTCTTTCAAAGACAAGTGGAAGCAAAGAGTCATATTGCCATGTTATTGCCAGTCTCTGATCATTCTCTGTGTTCACAGAGAACTGTGTTGTTACACTTAGCACTTGCATATATTGCTGGCTTATCTCCCTCTCCAATCAGGTTAGGAGAAGACTGAAAGCAACATGAAGTCTGTTATTTCTTTATCCCTAGTGCCTAGCACAAGATATGGAATACAGTAATTATTTATCAGCTCTATGTCAAATCAGTGAGCCAGGTTTAAAATTATTACCCTCAAGAGACCAAGTAATCAAGTAAATATCCAAAACCAAAATGAATATTACTCTAGAGTAAAATCTGAGGTAATGTGGAAGTACATACAACTGATATAATTCCAATTAAATACAAAGACACTTGACATTATTTAGCCTATAGGTAAAATGATGGTTTATAGATAAATGAAAATTGTGTATATGGTATTTTGAAATAATGAAAGTAGTTCATTAATGTTTCTAGGTAATCTTAGTGATTCTTAATTGGTAGGCTAGGACTTAAGAAATCTATGAAAATCAAGGTCTGGAGTATTCCCAAACTTGGACTAGAGATGAGCTTCTGGGTGAACATTAGATGACACCTGTTTCAGGATTAGAAATATGCCAACATTGGGAAACAAGACAGGCTGACATCATGAAACACAGTTCTTTCTAGTTAACTGATTTGTTATTCATAGTTCTGTTTTATCAGTTCTGTACATTGTTGTCAGAGAAAGCACTAAGGAGAGTTGATGAACATTCTATCTCCAAGTCAGAGTTTGCCCCAAGGTGGATCCAGGCATTAAAAAAAAAAATTATCTTGAAAGTGAAGATTAACACGAATACCACAACTTGACCAGAAAATACCAGTGAAGGAAAGTAGACACCTAAGTAAGATGAATTGCCTACTACATTTACTTTCAGTGTATTTATCTGTGTATAAAATCCTTGACATAAATAAAATATTCTGAAATTGATAGGACATGGTAATGAATGGACTAGGTAGATAAAGTGGGGAACAAAATGGGTTTTACGAGAAAGGAAAGTGAGGGGTGACTGAGTTGCTCAGTTGGTTAAGCGTCTGACTTCAGCTCAGGTCATGATCTCACAGTTTGTGGGTTCAAGCCTCACGTTTGACTCTGTGCTGACAGCTAGGAGCCTGGAGCCTGCTTTGAATTCTGTGTCTCCCTCTCTCTCTGTCCCTCCCCTGTTTGTGCTCTGCTCTGCACTTTCTCACTCTCTTTCTCTCAAAAATAAGTAAACATTAAAAAAAAAGAGAGAGAGAGAAAGGAAAGTGAAGAAGTGAGCCTCACCTTTCAGGCTTTGTCTTTGAGAGAACAACAGAGTCATAAACTATATAACTATTAAGAAGCAAGATAGAAGGCAGATTAGTGATAGTATTAGCATTTCTAACTTCAGCACAGAAATAATATTCTGGGGACACATGGGTGGTTCAGTTGGTTAAGCATCTGACTTCAACTCAGGTCATAATCTTAGTTTTTGGGTTCCAGCCTCGTGTCAGGCTCTATGCTGACAGGTCAGAGCCTGGAGTCTGCTTTAATTCCTGCATCTCCCTCTCTCTCTGCCCCTCCCCTGCTCACGCTCTGTCTCTGTCTCTCTCACAAAAAGAAAAACATATAAAATTAAAAAAAAAAAAATAACATTCCAAGACATTTTACCCAGGAGGACTCTGTTTGTTTGTTTATAGAGTAACAGAGCACTTTATCACCTTTATCTTTGGTAACTGAAATAGAGAACTGAGAATTTGTGAGAGTTATGGAGTGATGAAGAAGAAAATTCACCTTCTCATTTGTGCCACGCTAAATCCCTTATTCCTATTCTTCTCTCCTTTGATAATGTCCTTTTGAATCTTCTGCCCACAGGAAGATGGAACATACTGACCATTTTTATTAAAATCAAGTTTACAAATAAAGGTTGATTTGCTTAAGAGTGGTTAAATTAATTAAACTTAAGATTGGGAAGAATTTCATGTGTCCTAAAGCCTGATGCTGCTGCTAAGAGTATTATAAATGTTGAAAGGTCTTAAAATTGTTGCAATTTAAAACTAAATGTAAGAATCATATGAAAGTAACTATGTCATAAGTTGTAATATTGTTCAGTTCATAGTTTTCTTAGAAGAGAATAATTCCAAAGGCTAAAGAATACTGATAAGATAATGGCTTTGAAGTTGTTACTAATGATAAATCATAGTGTAGAACAATCTTTATTGTACTTTTTTATGATTTTTTTCTGAAATGTATCTGACTTGAAAGATAATGTAATTTTAACTATATAGTTCTTTCAACTTTCATTAAATATTATCTACATTCATGGAAAAATAATGTGTGTGCTATTAATATTGGACAGTATTGGTGAATATGAAATATGAGATCATCTAATAATTATATGTACTGAATGCCATTGGCTTTCACTAGCTATATTTTCTTCAGTTATAAGTAGAATCTAATAAAAATCTATTAATTCAGAGTTCTTATGCATACTAATAATAACAAAACCATTTGGAAAAGGTAATGTCATATTCTAATGCAAGATTCAGAATATAAGGGTCTATACCAATGAAAAATTAAGAGTCATTTTTGAAGGTAATATACAAATTCATTAAAGAAGCAAATAGTGAATTTATAGGTCCTTATTAAGTTTATTTTCTGCTTACATAACCTCTATTAGCTACATGAATAGATACAGTTTTGAAATAATAGATCTACTACTTAAGAGTGAAGCTAAGGCACAGAGGTGCCAGTGTAAGGCCACAAGTCTAAACGTCTAAACCAAACTGACTCCATGACAGAC